GGGTTTGTGGATCATTAGACTGGTTTTCTGGAAAATGCAACTTTAAAGTATTGATTTCATTAAACAAATAAATACTGTCAATGTCTGTTTCACTACTTGAATAGTCTTTAAGCTTCAGATTTAAATCCTAACCAACTTAAAATATCATTAATTATACTTCGACCCATGTCAGAAGAATTATTAACAAAATAATTGCAATTTGATATGCAATAGAACTGTTCGAATGCATTTGAAGGAAGCTCTGTAGGGATTCCCTATTTTCGCCAAACCTGTCAACTTCTGTCATACAGCACGACTATTGGTACTTGGCTTTCGGGTGCCCGCCAGATGGTTCAACCTGCCGACAGACGTTTCGCATTGCATCTTAATTCTGATAAATGCCAATAAAGGTGCTGTTAATGCTATAATATAAATAAGAATATAGTAATTGTGCGCCAGTCGGATTTTTTTCTCCATGCGAAGACATTTCTTATGCTATAAGTTAGGGTGGGTATTATGACAATGACTAATTATTACGTAACCGATCGCTCGATTTGCCGCCCCCTGGACGCCCGTGTGCAATGCACGCCTTGCACGCCCGCTTATGGCGGGCCTGAATCTACTCATGATTCACATAATCGGGTGAGGGCAGCCAAATATCTAGCAGTCAGGCAGCTAACAGCCCAGTACCGGTCCTGAATAGAATTGGATGCGTTATACGTGTAGCATCCACCCAAGGTCCTTAGCTTCCACCAGCTAAACCGGGTGAGGTTGGTGCTCTGTAAAACGCATGCACGAATCTGGCTTTTTGGATGCTGACAACACAGCACTTCCACTCTGCCACTAATATTCGAATATACAATAGCAATCTTATCTTTTTTTCACGTGTAGTATAGAAATTTGTAATAAGATACATAATGCGGTTATAATAAAATATTGTGCAATTATTTTCATATAATCAAAATTAATATGTATTTATTTTTTAGAAAATACAAGGGAAGTGGCACATCCACCACTTCCAATGACGGCACGCCACTGCATGCCACATTGTTAAGAAATTTTACGTGACACATATACCAATAACACAGAAGCTTAATTAATGTAACACTTGTTTGGGTAGCTATGCCTTCACTTTAGTCTGTCATAGAACTTGGAACCAGTATCAACTGAACATGACATTTGCAAAAAAAAACAAAAATAATAATAATTCTAAGACTTAGCATTCATCATTCAAAGCGTTTAGTAAAATTAAAGTTTTTGTATGACTTAGACAATTTCAGAGGTTAGTTTTCTGAAATCAGATAAGACAAGAAAAGACAAAAATTCTGTTTTTACAGATAGGAATTTGCATCAATAACCTTTGGAAGTTTTGACAAAATGACTAATCATAATCAATACTCAAATATACAATTATCAAAACATAAACAAACAAGTAATCATATTTTTAATTTATTTAATTTAAAATATATGCTCTCCACCTCAAATTCATAGTGGCTTGCCCCTGTACAGTACATCTTACTTTTCCTTTAACAATAGACTCATGCCAGTCATCTATATGGGAAAAATTTTTGAATTTAAAATAACATGATTTCTGGTTTGCATTGGAAGTTTATATGTAGTTAATTGGGGTCCATATCTGGTCTCTTCTTTCATCTATCTAACTCCATTCTTGAGATTAAGGAAAGACAGATGGACAGACAAGTGACAATGGGAATTTATAAGTTTACAATTTTTTCAAATTGCAGCCCAACAAATGTATAACATGAAATAGAATGCAAAGATTTTCTTATTTGGGAAATTTGCTTTAAAAGCAAATGCACACTTATGAAGCAAGCAAGAACAACACAATACAAACTGTTTAGCTATATCAGGACTCATTGTAATGATAATCATAACAATTAAGCCAACACCTTTGTGGATGCTGGAGCCCTGAAGTACCCATAAGGTTATTGCCACAGATATAAAATAACATTACTGAATATGACCTTCCAATGTATTGCTTCTTTGTGTATTTAGAAGTTATGTCAGAGATAGTTTATCAATGTTTCTGGTTAAATATTTCATGTAGTAATTTTTCAAAATGAACAACTTGAAAACAATCTAAAATTTACAAGTTATAAATTATAGTAAAGTGCAGAAAAAAATTTATGATTATTTTAATTACTTATTATTTTACAGTACTTACATTTGAACATTCTCAACTTTTGTTTTTAATTCTTGTTTATTATATTGTATTTCTTATTTAATTCTTACTTTTAATTCATTATAATATGTTAATCATGTTTTAATTTTTAAAATTTTTCAACAAAATGAACTATCATTACACATTTTATTACTTAACTTGTACCTTTTTAAATTAAATAGAAAAGTATTTTTTCAGACTTTTTAAGCATTATTTTAATATAAAATTACAAAATAAAACATAAAATATTTATATGTATACATTAAATTTACCTCAAAATATCCAGAAAACCAGATCTACTTGCAATATGTAATATTGTATCACCAGACTTCTTATGATAAATATTCTTCCATGTAATAGAACATTTTTTAGAATATTCATTTACCATCAGTTTAAATTTTGGAACATCATTTCTTTGAACAGCTTGTAATAATTGTAATTCATAGTCGCTAAATTCTGTCATAATCTTTTTTTCTTTTTACAATTTAATAATAAACTTTACAAGATTCATTTCACTAATCTGTTAAAAAAAATATTGACTTTAATAATTTAAATATTTTAAGTTAACAATTAATAAAAATCATACAAGATTTAGCAATTAAGTTCTACAAATATGTATTTAAAGAAAATCATATGTTAGAATAAAGAGTTTTTAACATTTTATTAATGTTTATTAATTTCATATTAATGTTCTTAAGAAATATATACTTTTGCACCCACTCATAACTAGGGCCAACAAAAGGGGAAAACAAAAGCTATTACCTGTAAATTTTAATTATGAAGCTTAAAAAAATCAATCTATGTAATTTCATGTGTATAGAGAGAAAAAACCATGCTAAATCAAAAGCTTCATGTCAGAAGAATGAAATTCTTCTTGGGCCTCAACCCCAGGGTCTATGATAGTTGTCTCACAATTAGATAATTATCTTTCTGGTGATCTTTTTGCATCATCCAGAACAAGCCCAGATGGTGGATACTTCAGTCAAATGACCATCCTGCTTCCCTCAACTCAACCTGCAGCCTTTCTTAAACTTCATTAGTATTTGACTATGTTGTACAAGGTATAAGGATACTTGGTAACAAGTTTAAGGCAATCTGGTGGCATTATCTGATTTGCAATAAAACCACAGTTATAATTATTTATTCTCCTCAAAAGTAGAGGAGAGGTGAGAGATATGCAAGTGATTAAGTTTGCATACACATTGAGACATGTCAGGCTACAAAAAACAGCAGCCAGCTCAGGATGTACAGTACAAGCTATCAGTGACAGTTTGTGGCAGCCAAACTTTCAAAGAAGCATAAAAAATGTCTTGGAGATGACAATGAGCTGAATACCACCAGTTAATAGTTGGGGAATGAGACCATATCCTGGAGCTGCATGATCTCAGTTTGTTGATGCATTCAATTGCCATGTGTGTTGGGCACAACTTGAGTACCATCCAGTGATGTGTGACATGAATGCAGAAACATCTGTGAACATGCTGAAGAGGGAATGAATTGCACTGGCACACAACAGAGTGTACAGACTGGCAGATTTACTGAATGGTCCATTGGGACCTGTTTGCCATGACATGACATCCAAAACTACCTGTTGCCATAAATAGGTGTATTTGTGCGCACCCAAACCATTTGCAACAGGTTGCATAAAGTTGGGCTGCATACATGGCAATCAGCAACAGGGGTGCCATTAACTGCTCAATACTGGGCTGCATGCATCTTAGTCATCACAACTGGACCACTGAATGGCATTGGGTATTGTTTACAGATGAATCCTGCTTCTGCCTGTGGAAGAATGATGGCTGTGGACGGGTGTAACAGTATCCCAGGGAACATTTATGTGCCAGCCCTTTTCACCAAGTGCCACACTGTCCATCAAGGTTTGGGAGGCATCATGTTCGATTAGTGGACAACCCTGGTGCACATTTCTGGTATTAGTACATCACATGAATTGTGGGACCTGTGTTTGTCCACTGGTGCAGGCCACACCTGATACAGTGTTCCAGTGAGACAATATCTGACTTCATGTTGCACAATGAACTCTCACCAGCCTGAATGGAATTCGCATCCTCCTCTGGCTGGGAGTCTCGCCAGATCTCTCTCTCTCATTAAACACCTGTGGGACCTTGTCTGACATGAGGTACACTGGGGACCACTGCCACATACTGTAGATCAGCAGTTGCCAACCAGTAGTCCATGGGCCACTGATGGCCTGCAAGAAAATTTTGGTGGTCTGTGGAGAAATTTGGACATTAGGTTAAGCAAAGTATTACAAAAGAAATGCAAAATGCTTGGTTGCTTTTTTCTCACTCGTTGGGGGTTTTTTAATCAAAACTAAAACCAAACATAAAATAACTGTTATCAATAAATAATGTACATTTGTCATTCTTTGTGGAAAAGAGCCAAGAATCCATAAACTTATTTCAAACAAGCACAAACTTCACACTTATTTGTTATAATTAAACAAGTGAATTTCATATTAATAAAGTAAAATGGAACTTTTATAATCATTATTCTATAGATGTTTGTATCATTTAAAAAACTCATGATAGTGGTCTGCGGAATTCAAAATTGTGAGTTTCTCACCGTGAGGTCAGAAAGGTTGGTGTCCCACTGCTGTAGATGATATATGCATCACAGTGGATGCAGCTTGGCAAGGGATACCTCAGGCAATCACTAATCACCTCATTGTATGGCAGCCTGTATAGCTGCCAATTAATTCAATGTCACAGTTATTAGAATTTTGAATTGAATTTGTACTGAATAAAATCTCTTAAACATTTTCTTAAATGCTATTCATCTGTTCTTTCTTAACTTTAGAAAATTCACTTGAGAAAGGAACAAAAATTTTTGAAATTATTTTCAAAATTTGAGAAAAAAATTTAAAATTCAGATTTTTCCTTTTAAATCAGTTTGTAATTTTTACATATCACTTTTTAAATCTCACACTGTATATAATAATCTTAATAGAAAACTTATTTCCATCTTATTTTAGTGAACATTCTAATATTTTTAAAAGATTTCAATTTGGACAGAGCTATTTCACAAAGTGCATTGTCATGCCTGCGCACTGATAGCCTGTTTGATCAATTCCTTTCTATTATATGACTCAAAAACATGTAAACATACAAGAAATTGATTAAAATATGCTTCATAACCATATATCTGATAAATTTGTTTTATTACTTCCCCTTTTATTCAATTTACAACAAAATTTAATGACAGTAGCAATGTTCCAACTTTTTATTCTATTTAAATTTTAAATTCCTGAATGCTAAAACCTAAAGCAGGCCAGAATGTAGCCAAAAATGTACATTTTGTTAAGTTTTATTATACTGTTTTTACTGAAAATAGTGTGGAAGACATGACTTCTTATAGCATGTTTGTGAAAAAATTAGTTATGAAAATTAACTGTCAAATGATACACTTTGCACTAAATTAACTTTCCAAACATAATGCTGTGCTGTCAATGTCCCTTGCACTAATAGTCTGTTCACTGTAACTTTGTGCATGAAACAAAGAACTGAAGTGATCTCCTCATCACTGTATGCTACAAAATGTGCTGTTTCTATGCATTACTAGTCTCATTGTATGTAGAAGCAATAGCAGTGTCCTAATAAAAATACGAACATCTGTTAATTATTATAAATTTAGTCCCAGAGACAATTGTTAAGAAAGAGTACTGTTGTTGCAAACTATTTCTTGTAGAAGTATACACAAAGTTATAGTGAAACAGACTATAGAGATGATTCATATGAAATGGCTCTTCATACCTGCACACCACCAATGGGTGCAATGTATGCCACTCAGCTATAAAAGCAGGATTAAATCATATTTTTAACAGCTATTTGCTATATTTACTTCTTATAAATTTATTAAAATCATGATTTATTTGGTTTTATTAAAATATAAAATTTTTGATTCTGCAAGTTTAAATCATATTGAACTCTTATAATTCTGGTGAGGGAAAAAAATCAATGCATTTTAAAGCCAACATGCAATAGTAATCAAATTTTGCATAAAAAATAGTAGCAAAAAAATAAAAATTTCATTACAATATCACAACATAAGGATATATCATTGAAAAATAGTTTCATCACAAATGTTAGTAAGTTGTGAAGCCACTCTAACATTGACCAGTTTGCAGTAATGCCAGATTGGGTTTGCCAATTTACAATTTGTAAAATTTGTGATGGAATTGTTCTTCAATGACATTCTTGTACTATGATATTGTACTAATTTTTATTTTTTTACTACCATTCTATATATATGCAGAATTTTGATTACTACTGCATATTGGCTTTAAAATGCATAAATTTTTTTGCAAAAGGGTATTTATTTATCATTTATAAATTCAAATAACTTCTAAACTGTTTTGTCATCTATTTCCTACAGTATATTATTGTAATATAGGTGGCATTTAATTATCATTTAAAATTAATATTTTAACAACTAAAACATTTCTATTTTACTTCATTATGTAAATGTCTTAATATACTGATGATATAACAAGTTATTATTGTACATATATTATTTCTATATCCAAATCTGGACAATTCCATCATTTAACATTTAATTAATTAAAAAAATTATCAGAATGCAAAATAATTTTGTTTTAATACTCATAAAATTAAATAATCAAATAATCAACCAAATAACCAATGTCATATTAGACTAAATTAACTATCAGAAAATATAAGAAAAGAAGAATTATAATTAAATGTATTGAGTTCATTCAACCAATAATTTAGAGTACTTAAAAGTGCTGCCTGTCTCTGAACTTGAATCCACACTTCTCACATCAAATAAGCACATTCCTAGTTTTATTAACCTTAAATTGTACTATCTCTTCTAAAGATAAAGGTCATACAGGTCAGTTTTAATATGCCAAATGATCAATAACTAACCACAGACTCTGTTTGAATTCAAATTGACTTCTATTTATACTAGATTGGTATTGGTATAAGTTATTATAAATGTATAGAAATACATTAAACACAAACAAACATTTAATACTGATGTTGAAAAAATTAATGAATAAAATATAATATATTCACATATATTACAAATGTTTAAATGAAGCTTAAAAGTAAAAAATTTTATTTTATAACTTTATATTCCTTTTTTTGCTGGTTTTGGTGCTATATAGCCCAGAACAGGTTTACAAAGTGGAATAGTCTGATCTTCCATTTTGCTTCCAAACCATGGTTTACCACTGCTTTTCATACTGGCAATGTTTTCAGTATCACTAAAATCTAAAACCAAACTTATCTCTACATGGCAAGCTTCTGACCAAACATTATGAGATAACAAAATTACAGTATAAAGTCTATAATTTTGATTGTCTTGAAGTTTAAATTCTGATAACTTTGGTAATATTAACTGAACTTGCTGATCAGGATATTTCACTTTAACACGAACATTTTTTACATCATTAACATTTTCAATCTGAGCATCTAATGTCAATCCAGCTACAAGCCCAGCAGTAAATTTTACTGGATTATCAGATTCTCCTGTAGGTTCATGAATTACTGCTTTTGATTTTTTAATTCTTTCTAAGGAATTTCCACTTGTGTTAAGATGAAATGATGGACAAGGATAAGCCTGTAATAGTGGTTGAAGTAATCTAGCAACAGAACCTGGCTTAGGCTCTTCTAAAGTTTCTAATTCTCGAAACATTGCTAAAGTAAAGCTATCTGGATTGATATTGTGTTCCTGTAAATCAGACTGTAAAGCTTCAACCTGCTCAAGAAAACTTTCACATAGTGCCAAAGCAGAAACATTACTACCTCTAATAACAATAACTAATTGTAATGCAAGTGCTCTTACTCGCAACTGTCTGATATATGCAATTTCTTCAGGGTATAAACCTAAAAACTGATGACTCAAATAATAAGTTAATTGTAAAAGCTGTTCCAAACCAGATTTCAAAGCACTATTTTGCAAGGGTGACAGAACAGATGGATTCATCCAATTTTTATTGGAAAGAAGTTTTGCCAAAAGTAATTGACATTGAATATATAAACTAGCACAGCTAGCAGCAGCAGAAAGGCTTGGTTCAACTGTTGACAATTTTTCCAAGTCTCTTATTGCTATTTGCAATAAACCCTGTTTAGCAGAAGAACTCCTACATTCTGCATTATCAATCTGATCAAGAACTTGCTGTAAAAATCCTCGTGAATGCTGTGTAGATGAGGTAACTTGAGAAGGGGTACAAGATTGATTGGGCAAATTTAATTTTGACACAAATGCTGGAAATGTATCACATAAATATGAATAATGTCTTAAAGTATGTTCTTCAAATAAAGGAATCATAGTTGGGCAACTAGCAGCAGCATTAAAAACAAGAATAAGAATGCTTATATAGGCTGGATCATCTATGCAAGGTTCAGGACTATCAAAATATGGATGTATACCAAGTAATTCTGGAACAAGGGGTAGAGTCAGATATGGGTGATTAGCACCAACATGTTTTAAACATTTCCAAATTGACAATTTATCTTGGGGATATCTTTTCAAATTTTCTAAGAGATTATCAATACATAATTTTAAACCAAATTTTGTGGACAGGGGACAGCTGCCAAGCATGGTATGAAGAGCTTCTCTTATATCCATAGAAAAATCTTCCAAAACACCTAGTATTGTTTCTAGTTGATCTTCTCTAAGAACAATATGATGACTAATGCAACCAAGACATTTTATAGCTTTAAGTCTGACATCTTCAATTTCATCATTGAACATATCAACTAAAAAATCTAAGGATTGAGCAGCAAAACTTGGAAAACAGACTGCTAATTGACAAAGGGAATCAAGAGAAGCACTCCTTACTTCATAAAATTCATCTTCTAAACCATGAACAAATGCCCCACAAGCACCAGAACTCATTAAATTAACACTTTCTATATTTAATTCTTCCCTTGGTGCATCATCTGCCCATCTCTGTCCCGTTGACCATTCACCACTTTCATAATTTTCTTTTTGACGTTCATGAGCGGAACGTTTTTTCCTCAAATTTGACATTAACTTCTTGTCAAGTGTTTGTTCCAAAAAATGAAGACTGACATGTTTCATTTCACCCAAAAGTGAAGCCGCTAATACACGCACATATTTTGACAGATCATTTATTGCTTCACATATTTTTCCAAATATATCATCACATAATCTTATTTTCTCTGTTCCTCCATCTAGAGTGATCATATGATCAGCATAAGAAAAACTGAGGATTTTAACTAATTTTAAAGCTACCATTCTTACACCTTCATAATCATCATTCAAAGCTTTACACGCTTCATCATACAAGCTTAAATCTAATTTTAATCCTCTATTATGCAAATGAACTAGAGCTTGTAATGCCGACGTACGAATTCTAGGATCTTGATTATGACTATATTCTCCCAATATTTTTAAAGTTAAAGAATTAGTTTCCGAGTGTATATCGACCGGCGTAAAATCACTTATCACTTTAAGGCAAGCGGAAACGACACTATGGGTTTTATCAGTCAGATACTGCTTAGTTATATGTAATATTTTCTGTTGCATTCTTAATTCATTGTGTCCAACTTTTCCTAAAACGTGAAACGTCTCAATTAAGTGAGCTAATACTTTATGAGAAGTTTCACTTTTTATAATTGGAACAATATCATCTAAAAAGCAGTTTGATTCAATCAATTTTTTATCAACCAGTTGTCTCAAGATGGAAACTATTTTTACTCTAACTGCAGATTCTCTTTCTTTATGAAGATGTTCCATTAAAACTCTATAAACAGACATTACATCTTCCAATTCACTTGGCAAAGAATCTGATAATTCTATCAGTAACTGTAAAGATTCTGAGGAATTACACGTTTTTAATAATTCCAAATCGACAGTTCCCGGGTAAGATGGTTTCTTGCTTAAACACAGTTTTTTCAAAGGTTTGGGTTTCGGCAATTCTTCTATAACTTCGCTATATTCTGCAAGAGCACGTTTCTTCAACAATGCCGCCATTCTTATACAAAAATAATCTTTATATATATCGCTTTTACGTTAAAATTTATAGCAGAAACAACATGCTAAACCTAAAAGCCAATACTAATTACCTTTAACTTCGTTGACAATGGCTAGTTGCGTATTTACTTTAAAAATTTTTAACGTCATGTTTATTTTCATAATGTATTATTATTTTTATTAAATTAAAACGAATTTCGGATTAAATATTATTAATTTATAATTAAATTTTAAAACAATCTTAAAAATGATAATATCATAGTAAAAAAAAATTACTATTGTGTGATTCAATATTAAGTCAAATAATTTTTATGTACAGTACATATTTTATAACCTAACAATAAAAGTAGAGCAATAATTTTTTAAAAAGAAAATATACTAATTCCACAGAAGATATTATAATACAAAAATTTAGGTGGCGCCGTGACCGCAATTCACAATGGACAATTACGCGGTTTAAAATTCCACGTGTTTTCGTTTTGTTTTGTGTTTTTGATGTAATGAGAAAATTATAACGAGATGTCAATGTTAAGGAAAACAATTAGAAAAACTGTGAATTTAACACAGGAATTAAAAACATTTACCTTAAGTAATTATTGTTCGCAAGTAACCCATCCTAAATCGGAGCTACCAAAACAGATAAAACCGTATTTAAAAAAAATTAAACAACCTCCTTTTGTTAAAAATTTATTTTTAGGATCATTTAATACGGTAAAATATACTTTTTTAAAAATATAAAATTTGTAAAGTTATTTAAGATTCGCATTTAACGGTAAAATTGCAGTTGTGAATGAAAGGTTTGGATCCTCCAAATTTTAGACTCCCCATTACTCCTATGGGTATGGTCTACAGCAGTGTTTCCCAACCTTTTTTGTGCTATGCCCCCCTTAACAATCGAATTGCCCCCCTGTGAGGCTTGGGCCACAGGGGTGCAATTCGATTGTCTACAGTTATGATAAGGTCCTAACTGTCTCATTCAGAGCTGTATTTTTACCCATTTCGTATCCTTTATAATTTATTAAGTTTAATTATATTTTCAAAATTATGAAGATAGAAGTATATTAAAACTAGAACAAAATGGAGTTTTAATAGGCCAAGATATAATATTAGCCACTAAATTACAGTATTTCAATAATTTTCAAATATCTTTACTTTGCTGTTAATACATTGATCCTATAATTTAAACAATTACATGCTCAAATCTACACATTCTAAACAGTGCGCCGAGGCAAGTTTTAGGATGGAGCGAGACCTTATTATGGCGCCTGGGGGTGGAACCCCACCCACGCACGTCTCAACAGATAACGCCATTCACATACTAGTCACATGCTTGCAATTAAAATATCGAAAAGTGAAAAAAATATGTTTTTCTTTAATTTATTTTACCACTGAGGTGCCCCCTAGGACTTAGCGCCTGGAGTGGCTGCTCCATTTGCCCTATGGTAGGGCCGGCTCTGATTCTAAAGAATATTCTGATAAAAATAAACAATTTATATTTTAAAATGTAATTATTAGTCAGTTTATCCACATTTTAGCATGATATCTAATACAATAGATACTATAAATTGCCTAGTAAATAGAGTGATTAGATATCTTTGATTTCAGAGGATTGTTCCCAATTTTTCATGTTCTTAATATTTGTATGTTGAGTCAATCTTTAAATAGAGAAATTTTATTAACACATCAATATTTGCATTTTTCACTGAATGCTTGCCCTCTGGTGTTTAAGAACAAAACCATTTTATCTGGGTCGTTTGAATCATTCTTGCGTATTGTCAGCAGTAAAGATGAATAGCAATAGAAAAAACAAAGCTTTCTGCTGCATTCCAACTTGCAGTTCCAAAGCCATAAGGGAGCCCAATATAAGTTTTCATTTATTCCCATATGAAAAACAGATGATGATTCAGAAATCAGAATTAGAAGCTCATAAATGTAACCAACCAAAAGAGATGATTTGACTGTTAAGAATTGACAAAAAAGTTTCCCAATTGTCTAACTTTACATGAACAAGTTATGCTGTCAGTTTTATAAGATTTTTCCTTAAAGTTTAAAATGCCAGTAATTTTTTGTGGTGGATACAGGGCCAGATTTAGGCATTTCAAAGCCCTAAGATAAATTCTGTGTGAGGCCCCTTACCAACCTTTTACAATTTTAGAAGTGAATCATAAAAAGAGAAGAATTAACATAAACATACTAATTAAATACTACACAAAATAAAAAGTAAAGCAAGTTATATTTTGTTGGTTTGTAAAAAAAATTTTTTATTACAAAATTTGATTTCAGTTTTCTTTCTTGTAGAAAGTTTTCATGCTGTTTGTTTGTTTGTTAAGTTATGGCAACACAACACTTGGGCGATCTGCCTAGGGGGATGCCTTTCAGGAGATCTTTTTAAGGGAAACTGGCCCCTATTTAGGTTTACATGCATGGAGAAAACTTGGAAAACTCCACGTGGCCAGCCCATCTGAGCGAGGCGTGAACCCACAACCAAACTCCCAGTGTTCAGGGTATGAAGACAGCTTGGCCACTGGTGGGCAATATTTTTTTTTCATGCCCCTTGGAACTTGAAGCCCTATGGTATAGCTTACATAGCTTACTTGTAAATCTGGCCCTGGAGACAGATGTCAAAGCTGATGTTTTTTAACACAAAGAGCACAAATATGCATAGAATGATCTTGCTCATTTGTTTTGATAATACCACATAAAATGACATATTCCATTAGCAATAATTGTTTTCCTATAAAATTTCTTGATAAACAGCTATAAGCAGCATATATCATTATATAGGACAGTAATATATAATTAATATTACATTGACTAGTTACAAACGATCCAGATAAAGTAGCCATTTTATGCTTCAATGCTTCAATATTAAAGTTTATTATAACAGTTACAACAAGAATTTATGCTATGTACTGTAAATACTAGGTATTTTCTAGGAAATTGAAACTCAGCTCTGCAGTGAAGAAAACTAAAACTGTGTGAAAAAAGGATTTAAAACTGATCTAAATCTAAAATAAAAAATTATCAGAGATAAATGTAATTGATTTACATTGAAATCTGATTACAGGTCAATTGACCTGTAATCAGAAACTTAACATGATGAACTTGAGTATCTTGGTCTCTGGTATTGGCAAAGGGGGCGGAGCATAAAGAGGACCGTAATTAGAGGATTTGATCCCAGGATCCCGACCACTTTTCAGTCCCCAAAATTTTCAGGATTAAGTTTTCCTGATCCCGAGATTTTTGGGATTGGCATCATTTTAAAAAAGTTGCAAAATAGACTGCATGAAGTGAAACGTTCAGTGCCAGTGTACTTAACAGAATTGCTTGCCTATCATTTTAATATAAAATACAAGAAGTTTTATTCCAAACAAGCAGCACAAATTAATTAACTTAGAGAACTTGCAATGTTTGCTTGGAATAAAACTTCTTGTATTTTGAACTAAAATAATAGGCAAGCAGTTCTCACTGGGTTACCTGGTAATATACTTCATTTTTGTATTTTTGAATTTTTGCAGGCACCAATTGATTTTCTGGCACAGTCGAGAGCACTGCCCAGTGGGTTTTACCTGTCAATGTGTCAGCCATTTTGTTTTGCTAGCGGATTTTAGTAGCGTTTGCACCAGCAGACTGAGAGGTTGTTCGTGAAAAACTTTATAATGTCAGTAAAATTTACAAATTTACAAAAGTTACAAATTTACAAATACACAAAAGTTACAAAATTACAACATTTAAGATGTTTACAATGTAGGTTTCCACATACACACAAAATAAATTAAAGTTCAAATAGTCCACTAATACTGAACAGGTCCATCGAAAGACACCTTACAATGTATTCACTGAGTCGTAGCTAGATGTAAGCTCCTTCTTCTGATTAGTAGAGTGATTAGATTAACTAGGTGTATACCATAAAATACATTGATTTTTGTCTAAATTTTAATTGCGTTGATTAAAGAGCTGATTTCTGTAAGATTTTCTTATTTTTTATTAACCCTCAATACTGAAATAATCCCAGGATCCCGAGATTGACTAAATATAATCCCAAAATCCTGGAATTAGAAATAAGGGCCGGGATCGAATTCCCTAACCGTAATCCAAGGCTTCTAAAATGCATTGTGGGGGTACAATGTTATCCCATGCCATGATATGGGTGTTTCTGCTTAAGTTTGGTTTAATATTCTGCATTCGGAATATCCATCTTTTATTAATTTTTATTTGCTGGATTATTATAGGTGTATTTATTCGTAGTATATTTATCCAGTTAGTTCATTATATAGGTATATCTTGGTCCATAGATCAAATTTCAAAATTCTGGCTTTGTCACAACATTGGTCTTGCTGAGTTATACATATTTACAAAAAATCATGTTTAGTGGTTTTGCTGTTACTTTAAACTTTGATCACAGACAAAACACTTTTTGACTTATGCAGAGCTTCATTCAGTGATGTGTGTAAATAAGTAATATTTATATATGTTTGTGTAGGAAATAAATATATAAAAATACGGTGGTGATTGGTTAATGAATAGTTTGGACTGTGAACAAATCAGACAACAAACACTTTTGCAAAAGATTTTTATATTCGGATAATGAACACCTCACAGAACCATCACAAGAAGTGATGCTGTGTTTAACATTTGTAAAACTATATTTTAATGGCATCTATGAATGGTTTATGGAACAAGACTTTCACAGCCGATTGCAGAGACAGAGTTTACATTAAATGATGTTTATCAACAGAACGGCCTGTAGACATTGGCTGACTGAACCGCAGTTTAAAATGCATTGCAAAGACTACGATCATCTATTTCTGAATGCCCTCTAAATGAACTTCAGCAAAACATTGGCTCTTACTTTCTTCGCTATTACACCCCTGTTTTAGGAGTCATTTGGCCAATTGGGTTATTTGTTTGTGACATCAGAAATGGTTGCTAGCTATATTCAGAAAACTTCCAGAAATAAAATCTTAAGGCCATCAAAACCATTGTTCGGCAATTAATGACAATCCTTTTCCATTTCAATATTTAATTTTGTTGCCAATACAGTTTAAAATATGAAGAAATCCATATTTAGAAAATTTATACAGTAGAACCTCGAAAACTCGGCTCTCGATAACCCGGCACTCCGGATAACTCGGCCACACCCCAACAGGGCAAAAAAATCCTTAGTTAATTAATTTTCATTATAGACAGCTTTATAAAAGTATAAAAGCTCTCATAAAGTATTTTTCTGAAGTCTGTGTTATCAGGTAAATTACTGTACACAGTGTATTCATTAATTTTTATTTTTATGTAGTAAAGGCTCTATGCCTTCATAAAGGACGTGCTTTTCCTTTGTTTAAGGGTATTTGGGCAGTTTATTCTCTGTTATATTCTCAAGTAAACAATACATATAAGTACAGTATATAAGTACAGTACAGTATTTTCTGAGGAAACACTCGTACTTATTTTTTTTAACCCCATTCCCGATAACCCGGCATTTTCACAAACTCGGCCACCCTTCGGTCCACATTAGGCCGAGTTTTCGAGGTTCTACTGTACCAAATTCAAAATTCATCTTCGGAATAGATTTTTAAGGAATTATTTCAACATCTTATTACTGTCGCCCTTCGTAACTGTCAAAATGAATAATTTTAAATATTTTATTATTAATGTTACATTTTTTTATATCTATAAACAGATTTCTGTAATTATTAAAATTAACTTGTTTAACAGTACAATGATTCCAAAATGCATTAACGTTTTATAACCGACACGATGCTTGAATTATAAATAAATGCATCTGATTTAAATTAATTGTAGTTTTAATTCTTCACCCATTTAAATATTGGAATTGGAACATTTAAAACAAATTTAAAGTATTTAATTTTGTTATTTTTGCTCCAAGCAATTAATTAATGAATAATTTTGTCAATTTGTACTGTTTACAACATTTATCAAAGGAACGATATCTGTTTTTATCTAAACTTTTCACGAACAAAGCTACCACTTGAATTGAAAAGCCCTCTAAATCTGCTGTCGAGTGAGTCTAGAAAGTAGGTCAAATAACTTGTTTCTAATCACTGTCTACATTGTGGCAGGTGAGAAATGCCATCTCTGCAATGAAATTTTTCTGAACAGCAGTCTACTTAATCTGTAAACTGCTATTGGCCTCTAAACGTTGTCTCTGCAATCGGCTGTCACTGTTGTATACATAATCTTTTTTGCACTAGTTAATTTCTGTTCTCTGAATTTTTGTAAGTGCTTTTCTGAACTTTTTATTTCAGAAAACTGATAATATTATGGGGCCTAAAAAGAGTGGTGTGTCAAGAATTGTGTTTACTATAGAAACTAAGCAAGAGATAATAGCAAAAGTAGAGAGTGGAAAGAGGTCTGATGTTGCCAGGCAGTATGGCTTCAACAGGTCTACAGTAAGCACAATCTTAGCTAAGAAAGATGTAATCAAAAGACTCAAGCAGATAAAACAGTAATGAAAATCACATCTAAGAAACAAAGATATGCCATCCATGAAAAAATGGAGAGATTGCTTTTGGTTTGTTATTACATGTAAATAAACATAGTAAGAAATATATAATTTTTTATTTATTTATTTTTTGGGGTCTCCAGAATGAATTAATCAAATTACCATAAAAATCTATGGTAAATCAATAATCGGTTAACAAACAATTCGGGTAGCAAATGTGTCTTGAAACAGATTATGTTTGTTAACCAATCACCCACTGTAAATGTAATATTTTTGAGTAAATTGAATAAAAAGTTAAATCTATATATATATATATAGAGTANTAAATATTTTAATTTAAAAATATTTTTATGTAGGATGTATTGATATATCCAGAAGTACTTTCCAGAGAAGATCTCTCAGAATTAAATAAAATGAATGACAAATTAAAAACATTTTTTACAGAAAATGGTAAGATATACATAAAATTTTATTTTAAAATTATATATACCATATATCTCAGCAGATAAGACGAGATATAAATTTTCATCAAAGTTTTATAGTTTTAGCATATATCTGTCCTATAAGACAATCCCCAAACTATCAATGGCCTATGAATTTAGTTTAGATTAGTGATCGTCATCTAGATAATAACACTATAGCGTATACAGAATTATGTCCTATTCGTAATTTTTTGAAAGAACATCAAATTTCATTTTCTTGCGATTGTTGCAAACATTGGCACTGATTCTGCATTCAGATAATGACCCTGACTATTCACAAAAATGTCATATGGGCTATTCTATTTTGTGGACATACCCTACTCTCTACTAGTAAATAATTACGGTTAATGGTTTTAATTTATATAAATTTCAATCTAATTTTTTTTGTATCTGTCCTATAAGACGACCCTGGATTTTGGGGGCCTTTTTTTATGATTCAACTATTGTCTTATCTGCTGAGATATACAGTATATAGGATTGTAATGACTATTAGAAGTCAAATATTATAGATAGCAAAAGTTACTTGAAAAAAATCCTTTCATCTAATTTAATTATGCATTTAAGTAATTCAGTTAGGTCAGGGCTTCTTAAACTATCGGTTGTGACCCCATTTGGGGTCAAAATCTTGATCGCTTAGCAGATCAAGCTAAGCAATCAAGCTCTCTCGCTTAGCAAGATTTCACTTGATTGCTTGATCGCTTAGTGAATGCTAAGCTATGGGTCGCTTAGCGAAATCTTGGGGTCGCAAGATTTTAATGCAAAATATTGAAAATAATTTGTGAGAGTTTGAAAATGGCACGCTTTGTGTCATAGGTTTTGTGAGTAGCGCTTTGTGTCACTTCTGGTGCAGTGAGACAACGATTCAGCAACACTGATTGTAGTGTGAACTAGTGGACACAATGGAACAGAAACAACTGAATACACTGTAGTGTGAACTAGTGTAGTGTTAAGCAACAAAATGGTGATGGGTGTATTCTTCAAATATTCTTATATATATTTATTTATAACTATTTTTATATAAAATATAATAATAAACTCGATAGTATCAGAATTATCTTAGCAATTTTACTAAGTTTAATAGCTCATTTAGTGTACTACTGTATAGACAATATCTGAAAGCGAGTGAGTTGATGGCCATCGCGTGGGCCTTTGTTATTCTTTGTTAGTGCTCCACCTGTGTAAGTAACGGGCAGGGCATATCATATTTACATAAGATGGCAAAGAGAAGCGACTTTAGGAATAAAAATAATCAAAGTTTAAACCACGCTTTCATCAAAAGCAACGGTCTTATAAAAATTATTCAATATCTGCATTAATTATCTCGTATTTTTGCATTTTATTCCGTACAGTTCGTGCTTATAAAATGGCATAATGTATAAAGAACGCGCTCATTAAAAATAACCACAGAGAATTTAGAATATATGACACTGTAGAGTGAAAAAAGCATGTACAAGTAATTTAATGGAAGTAAGTGCAATAAATTAAAGCCATTAACAAAATTCAACCTTGCACTTTGTATTGAGAGACAAGAGAGATGCATAATGTTCTCTGTAATATTTTATGTATTATCTCTGAACATAAAAGAGGGAAAGCACACCGTAAGAGAGTCGTGATAGAAATTTTCTTCNTTTTTTTTTTTTTTTTGATAAAATAAATAATATTTGCATATGGAACTAAAGAGCCGCAGCTTCACATCCAAAGAGCCGCATATGGCTCACGAGCTGCAGGTTGCCGACCCGTGCCCCATAGGATTTGTTATGTTCAAGTTATAAGGTGAACTTTGAAATGAAATTTGTATATTAGCAAATGTGAACCTATTATTAATATTAAAGAGTTTTAAAATGTATACTATTAAGCAATTTTATGTCACTGAGAGAAAATAAATATAATCTCAAGAGAAAAACGAAAATGCTAAAATTATAAGAGTTATAGTTTTTATTGGTAAAACATTTTTTTGGACTTCTCTGTCACATTTTCAGACCAAAAAAAAAAATTTGAATCAAATGTTCAAATAAGAACTTCCATATGGTTTCATTGATAATTTTAGAATAAGCCTTCATAAGAGTTTCTTAAGTTTCTTAAAAGATTTTAAAAGAAAAATCTTTTAAAAACTTGTCTCCTATAATTTTAGCATTTTTATTTTTCTCCTGATCTTAAATGGAGTTACCATACTCAAAAACTAAATATAATTTGTCATATTTTAGAAAATTATAAAATTATTCTAAGTAAAAGGCAGAAAATTATAATTAAATTCTTGAGTATGGACCAAATAATGAGAAAAAAAGCTATCAACAAAACATCTGGAAAATTGGAATATTTCAAAAGTCATGATGATAGTTTACAATGATATATCTTTGAATACCTTGAAAATCTTTTAGCAGAAGGGAAAATATGTTTAATTAATGCAAACATTTTTGGTCATTTTAAAAGACCATCCTCAGGAAATTGAACATGTCAAATACAGTCGAAATAGAACATATGACAAGACATAGATCAAAATACAAGTTCAAAAAGTCAAGCATACAAAATGTATTAATCAAAATTATCACCTTTTTACAAATTCCAGCAAATAATTTAATATTATAAAAAACGTTTTCGATTTTATAACAAAACAAAATAAGTTAAAATATAATGACAACTTTAAAAGGATGGATACATCAGTATAATTAACAGATTTTAAATATCTATAGAGTTCAGCATTCATTTGCAGGCATTGGAGATAGAATAAACATCCTTAGAGTTGATGCAGGAGCACTTCAAGACGTGTTTGTAGATTTGTGCCAATTCTTCAGATTTGGTGAACTCAGGACTGGTGAGATATCTTAAATGCTAGAAGATCTGAGTGTCATTTGCACTAGTGAATCTAGATAGAAAGGTATTGTACGTAAATCTCCTCTTGTATGTTATATTTATGTCTTTCTAACTTTTTTTTGGAAAGATCAGAAAGTGCAGCCTAGAAAAGACAAATTCGTACAGAAGGGATTATTGTGGATCAGGGTCCTGTAAATTCCAGATCTAGAAGCTAGGTCCTAGAATCTNTTGTACGTAAATCTCCTCTTGTATGTTATATTTATGTCTTTCTAACTTTTTTTTGGAAAGATCAGAAAGTGCAGCCTAGAAAAGACAAATTCGTACAGAAGGGATTATTGTGGATCAGGGTCCTGTAAATTCCAGATCTAGAAGCTAGGTCCTAGAATCTTAGCATTCTTCAGCAGATTATACATCATTGGGTTTCTCAGGTATACCATTTTTCAGTTTACCAGGACAAATTGTAATCAGATCTTCTGAGATGAGGCCAAGTTTTTAAGGCATTTCACCAAATCAGAAGAATCTGGACAAATCTGCAACCACGTCTTGAAGGGCTCCTCATCAATTCTAAGGATGTTTATTTCATCTCCAATGCCTGAAAATTGATGCTACAATCTAAAATATAGATATTTTGGATCTGTTATTTAAGTTAATTGCATTGTATGGGCCATCTTCTTAAAGTTGTCATTGTATTTTAACTTATTTTGTTTTGTTTTTTTAATATATTTTTTATGCTTGATGTTTTGAATTTGTATTTTGTTCTGTGCCTTGTCATATATTTATTTCAGTTGTGTTTGATTTGTTTGGTTGCTTGAGGATGGTCTTTTAAAATGACTGAAAATGTTTGCATCAATTAAACATATTTTCCCTTCTACTAAAAGGTTTTCATGGTGTTTGTTGGTACTTTGCATAGAAGTTTGGCATGACTGAATGATACAGTATATCTTTGGATAAAGAATTCACTTTGTGTTATCATGATAATTTTATGTAAAAAGTCATTATTATTATTTAAATGTTATTTAAATTTAATTTTCTGTTTTTATTTGATGCATATATTTAAATTAAATTAATCAAAATATTGAAATAAATCTAAAATTATATTTTAGAAAATGCTATGTCATTCATCCAATAATCCAATGCTGAAAGTGATTATGTTGAGAAATAGTACAATGCTGATAGTTTGTTGCAATGGATATTGTGTTTCTGAAAATAAAATTTTTAATTTGAAAGAGTCAATAATCTTGCTTTTTGAACTACTCTTGTATAGTTCAATGCATTATGAAACATTTTTATTTTGTGAGTTTGGAAGATAAATGTAAATTGTTCAAAAACAGTATGATAAAAAGTTTTATATTTTTTCTTACTTCTAAACACACTCAAGAAAACCTTTAAATATGCAGCCGTATTTATTAAATTCTAACGTTTTCGGTCATATTCAATGACCTTTCTCAAGAAAAAACCGAAAAAATCGAACTCCGAACTTGAATTAGCGATACAAGCGTTTTGGAACGTTTTTTAAAAATAATATTCTACTGGAATAACGCCATCTCTATATAACGGTTGTCATTATATAACCACATTAGCTATTAGAACGTTAAAACTATGACGTTCAGGATATAAAATAACAGTAAAAATACAGACATAAAATACCAAACATACGAAACTGGCGCCTAATTTAGATGTTAGGTATACTGGGTCCATACAGGTAATTTCATTTGCGATTCCTTGACTTTCCCAACCAATTATGGCATTATTCCCTGACTTATTAAGGTCTCTGCATTTTCCATTTCCATTATGTAATATTCAGCCAAGTCTATTTAAGCCCATTTTCTACACAATTATATAAATTTTTTTTATTAATAAAAAAACTTTATTCACTTACAAAAAACAAAAAACTTGGTGTAAAATTGATTANTGTACTATATTAAAAACTAAAATTTATTTGTTTGTAAGCTTAAAATAGATTTTTATTAACCATATATTATTAAAAATGCATTAATAAATAAAATACAGAATGGGAATTGGTAATTTATGGTTTAGCCTAGTGGCAAGTAGATTGGTAATTTATGGTTTAGCCTAGTGGCAAGTAGACTTAAGTCGTTCTTCTGAAACCAATTACCGACGTAAGGCAAGGTATACCTGTACAGTTATAGCTGATAAATAATCTAGTAATTAGGTCTTTGATTAATTCAATATTCTGCTATGGTTTATGTCTGTGTGAGTTTTATCTAAAAATAAGTAGAGATATTTTTAATAACTGAAAAATTTGTTTTATTTCATTTTTTTAATAAAATTTGTTAAAATACTTATATTTCTTTTTCCAACATAAATTTCAGTCTAATGTATAATATACATGTACTGTACCTAATACAGTGGTTTCCAAACTGTGTGCTGAGGCACCAGGGGCACTGTGGCCAGGTTAGCCATTATTTTAATTATTAGTCACATATCAACAACATTCATTCAAAGTAATTTTTTTGTATGCTTGCTTAAATTGTCTATCTTGAGATTTATTTACTAGAACTTTTTAAATAAATATAAGCCTTTTTCTCTGTTTTTTTCTTTCAAAATAATTTTGTTAATTATTTTGTTTAGGATAAAAGAGAAAGAAAAAACAGAGAAACAGTTACAGACATTTTTACTTCTGTTTTGAGGTTAATTTAACAACTTAAAAACTGTAGTCATTGTATGTTTGGCATATGAAAATAATTGTACTCTATACATTTTATAGTACAATTTATTCTTTTATACTATTTATACTTTGTGTAAGGACTACTATTTCTTTTATTTATTTATATTATTTAATTATAATATGAACATAGTTTAGGTTTACTCCTTCCAAAATATATATACAGGTATATATCTTTATATAATGCATGTATATATGAGTTAGGTGCCAAAAGTTTCCAGCCTAACTATATCTTAGATATGATAAGAATAAAATAATGATTGTATCAGATAGTGCCATCTGTATGTGGACTAATAAAAGAGTTTTTCCCACTAATTTGCATAAGTTTCTTGGCAATATTCATTTTAGTTAGATTTGTTGCATTAATTTGCATCATGTTTGCTTCTTGCAGGACAATGTGCCAGTGCACATGGCTACTATTGACAAGGCTGCTGTGAAGGAGTGTGGGTTCAAGGGAGCTTTACCATTCACCCAACAACCTGGACCTGGCTCCTAGTAATTATCTGTTTTTTAAATTCAAACAAGACCTTTGAAAAAGTGATGAAGAGTGGCAGGAGGCAATTTATGAGCATTTTGCAGATAAACTGCAGACTATTTTTTTAAGTGTATTGAAATGCTAATTCCAGGATGTAATAAGTGTGTTGAACTGCAAGGAGACTATATTGAGAAATGACATCATTATTTTATACCTATAACATCTANGTTTTTTAAATTCAAACAAGACCTTTGAAAAAGTGATGAAGAGTGGCAGGAGGCAATTTATGAGCATTTTGCAGATAAACTGCAGACTATTTTTTCAAGTGTATTGAAATGCTAATTCCAGGATGTAATAAATGTGTTGAACTGCAAGGAGACTATATTGAGAAATGACATCATTATTTTATACCTATAACATCTAACACATAGTTAGGCTGGAAACTTTTGGCACTTACCATGTATATAGGGAAGCTGCTGCCAAATTACAGCTAGTTAAGGGAATTGAGAGTAACTAAAGGAACCACTGGCCTAATGTATAAAATGTTCTAATTTTGTTTTTTACATTTAAATTTGAGGATTTTAATTGAAAATTTTTTAAATTTTATTAAATTTGTGTTTAAGTTTTATTTTAACAATATGTCTACATTTAATTCTTTAATTTAATATGAAACTAAATCTTTTATGATTTCAGAACAATTTTCTTATTGAAAAATACAAAACATTTACGAAAAAAGTATTACTTTTTAATTTTCATGTTCTTAATGTAAGCAATTTCAGATACATTCTTTTAATAATAAATGATAATGATATTCTGAATGCAGTTGATATCAGTATGAATCATTTAAATTAAAGTATATAGAATTTTTCAATATAAGAATCTATGAGATGCCACTTAGCTACTTATTTTACAATGATGATTTTTTCCATTGATATACTGATCTTAAGAAAACTTTCTTTTAGTCAAAATATCCTGAATATAACAATGGAAAGAAATCTTATATTTTGTCTTTTCTCTTTACATGTTGTCAGTTCTGTAAGTCTTGATTTCCAATAACTTCTGTTTTGGATTACTTTGCTGTTATTCCATATACTTTCATATCCTTCTCTATTGTTCTTTATTGTGTTTTCAAAACCCTTGTATGTCTCTGCATACCTGCAATGGCCATTCGATCTAAGTACTTGATAAGTGCTGTTTCAGATTGTCATAATGATCTAGTAATCATAATCCTAACCACTCATCTTTCTCCAATTTTTGCTATTGCTAGTCTACCTCTTATATACTCATTCTTTATTTTATCCCTTTTTAAGACCTCATATATCCAGTTTTCATTCATATTATTATCTAGTCACTCAACATTATGACACACTATATCATTACAGATATGATCACAATTTTATACAAGTGATTTTTCACTCTCAGTGTCACATATTAATCATAGTACATCACTGGCTTAGCTCCATTTCAACTAACCTGTACTGTTCCATTTTTCATCAGTTTGTCTATTTGTTTGGACTATTGATCTAATGTATTTAAATTTGTCATTTTGTGTTTTCTATGATTTTTCACTTTTGCCAAGATATTCTGTTTTCCTATTCTCATTAAAGTAATATTTCATATATTCTTTTTTCTTTCTGCTGATCTTCACTTCTCTTGAATCCCATGTCATGGCATGTCATTCTCTATCTATTAAGTTTTACTACTTTGTGTTTCTTTGTTATGTTTATTAGCATAATGTCATCTGCATATAACAAGCACTATTAAATATCCTTTATACATCCTTCATTACTTCATCCAGCAACATGGCATGTCCCTTTTTGGAGTATGTAGCATTGCATATGTAGCTGCAAATGTTGCCATGTTGCTGCATGATTGTAATAGTGGAGAGACATGTCCTTCCACTATTGCAATCACCAAGTTACACATTGCATGGAAATACTGTACCAAATTTCCATGCAATGTGTAACTCCTTTTTTCCATAAAGACCAGTAAATGTTGCCATGAAACACTATTATGTCTTATTCAGGTTTACATAGATCAAATAGGATATTTTCCTTTTTTCTCTACTACTTTCTATAAACTATCTCAATATTAAGATAACTTTACTGAAAATCTTTCCTGCATGAAGCTAAAAAACCTTCCACTAATATTCACTTTGACTAGAGAACTATTAGATACAATAAGCCTTATCCATTCTCTTTGTATACTTTATTTTGTGAATAAGTTCTGAATATTTACTATTTTTTCATATATGTATTTTTGTGAGTTGTGGGTGTTTGGATAGATATGGCTATGATTTTTGGGCTGCAATTTGAAAAAACTGTAGACCTATAAATTCCCACTGTTGCTGTCTGTCCTTTATCCAACTCCTAGTTAGATAAATGAACGTTGAGACCAGATATGGAAAGCTTAGGGGCAGGTGGCCCCGATTAAATAATTAAATATAAATGAACTTCCAGTGCAAACCAGAAGTCACATTATTTCAATTCAAAATTTACCCCTTAAAGGAGTTAGCTAGATGACTAGCTTGACTCTATTGCTAAGAGGAAAAGTATGATATACAGGAACAAGCCACTACTAATTTGAGGTGGAGAGCATATATTTTAAATTAAATAAGTTAAAAATATGATTAAAAATTGCAGCCCAGCATTGTGATGATGTCAGAATAAATAATTGCTTGTTTGTAATCTGTTCTAATACAATTTTGTAAATAAATTTAAATTTCTAACAATATGATTAAATTGTTTAGAAAAAATTTTACAGATGACACAAGAAGATTGTTTTAAATTATTTTTGTTTTCAATAGATTAAACTTATTGAGTTTGTCAGACTCAATAAGTTTAATGTATTTATTAAATTTATTGGTTTGGTTGGTTATTGAAGTTTTATGGCACAAGGGCCTTATGGGCCATGCTTTGCCAACAGCAGGCACTCATGTTGTACAACTTATTAGTGTGGATAATTAAAGCTTTAAAAAAGATTTAATGGTAATTGATCTTTTAATTGAATTTTTAAATATTTATTTCAGGAGGATTAGGATATACTTTCACTGAATATGCTCGATTAGCAGAAACAGTTGGAAGAAATCCTTCAATATCTCGTATTCTTAGCATGCATGAATTAATGGGAATTCAGGTACTGTCATTACAATAATAATTTTTGGCTGCTAAGTTTAACTTATATATTTTAATTTTAATAATAATGTTTTCATATTAACTATTAAATTAAAATTAGATATGATTTATATTTGACAACTGATTTTACACATATATATCTATCAATATACAATATAAATCACAGTACAGTCTTAACTAGGAGAAAAATTTTAGGAGCATTTGATATTACAAATATGAAATTTAATAAAATAAATACTTATCACATGTTGATTAGTATTTAATTTCTTAATGTTTTGGAATGTAGTTAATTTACTGTTATTTCATTTAAAATACTAGCAACATGAATTATTATGTTATAATATTCTGTTTATTTTAGAATACTTTACTGCAGTTTGCAAGTTAAGACAGACATCAAGTGGAGCTGCAAATTAAAGTAATATGGTTTTCATAGTCAGGGTAATCTCCTAGCCCATTAGCACATGCAATACATTGTACATTGTAGCCAATAAAAATTATGTTAAATATTAATCTATCTGATATGTTAGTGTAGACTGGGAAAAGGTCAAGGCCATTAAAGATAGGAAAAGTAGTTTTGGACATAGGTCATATTGTCATGAAGTATTAAAGGACAAAATAATACAGAAATTTCTGCATTATGTCTACAGACGTCACAGATCAAGGGCCAGTAACATTATTAAGATTTATATAAAATCCAATAGGTAACAATAAAGATGAGTAAATATGCAAGGTCCTTTACTGGACATAACATATAATTTCAGATTAAAAAGATTGGATTGCATATGTAGCTGCAAAATCTGGTACAAGAGGTAAATGTAAGCATATAGTTGCTTGTTAACTATATATTAATATAAGAACAACACTTACTAAGCATAAACAACATCATCCTAAATCTGCCACAGAAAGATTAACTCTTCCACGTAAGGATGGCAGACGTGGCCTGATTGACATAGTTAACCTTCACTACAAACAAATACAGTCCTTGCAAGAGTTTTTCTACAGGAAACAAGAAACATCACAATTACATAAAGCAATAACTCTAGCAGAGTCAAATAACACACCATTAAACTTACACTCACATCATACAGACTTGACACAACATATAAAAAGCATAGACACCATTAAATTTTAAACAATCGTGGGCTCAAAAGGCACTCCATGGCTCCATGGCATCCTTATGACCTGGCCCAGGATTTTGTTGACAAAACTGCGTCAGACAGTTGGTTAGATTGGGGATGCCTCTTTGGGGAGACGGAAGGGTTCGTGATTGCCAAACAGGATCAGGTCATAAATACTAAAAACTACAGAAAACACATACTCAAAGAAACAACACTCACAAATGACACATGCAGAAAATGTCACATCATGCCAGAAACTATACAACACATCACTTCTGG